ATAACTGTTTTCCTTCTGTAATATGACACATACAGATAAGAAATGAAAATTCATAGAACCATTCAGAGACTTTTGTATATTTAGATGCACTGATGTGATGCATGGGCAATATTTGTAGCAAATAAAAAAATATTAAGAATAACACTAACATTCTTGCATAGACCTCCTCTACAGAAAGCATCTTTTGTTTAAGCCAAACTCAACAAAATATGTTGCAATTATCTACAACTTATCTATTATTTTTCTTTAATATAAACTGTTTCTTAATACATCTACCACTTAATTCTCAACTGATACTCCCTGATGGAGTTTTGATTATGTAGGTTAATGTTTACTCCTGGGTCCTGTTTAATGCTTATATTCATGAATCATACCTTATGACCAGTTTTTATTTATTAACACCCAGGAATGTGTGACTAATATCACTATTGATAACACCTAGTTATTGGTTGAGGAACCAAAACTATGAGCTGGTTCAAGTTAAACTGGCTCCGTGACTGAATCATTTTTTATTTGTTCTGGATAGAAAGTAAATACCACAGCCTCCAGGATGGTCATTCAAAACTTTTATTTATCATTGTTCTCTTTTAGGATCCTGTGTCAATTATACAATTATATTCTTATAAATGAGAGAATTCTATTATACAATTATATTCTTATAAATGAGAGAATTCTAAAAAATGTGTGATATAGAGTGGCTTTGTGTAGTAAGAGAATATATATATATATATATATATATATATATATATATATAAACAATTTTAGAGCATTGTAGTTACATATAATTCTGACATATTCAAAAAGGCATATAACATAGTTTTCTCCATTCCAATCTACTATGCCCTTCTCTCCTTTCACCGACTCTCTTCCTCTACTCTAGGGCCATATCTATACTTTAATAGCAAAACTTATGGTCTGTGATTATTGTAAAGTGCAGAGATTATGTAATGATCTTCTAAGGTGTTATAACTACAGGCTGAAGGTATGAAAGACAGAATTCAGAATGACTATAATCAGGAAAAAAACATACATAAGAATAGGCTATTTAAGATCAACTTCTTTCTCCTCTATTAGCATCAGGCTATCATTTAATGAAATCTGAACTCAAAAGTTATTTCCAAGGGCAACTCTCCTAAGGATATGTTTCCTTCCAATATTCTCAATTTATATTTGTCTTCAGGAAATATTAATAATGTAAGTATATATTTAGGTTTTAAAGTACATTGATAAACATTTTTTCATTTGATCCTCTGAAAGCTCAGTGAAATATATTGGGAAAACATCATTCTACCTCTGTTTTTCAATTGAGGAAATTGAGGCACAAGCACGTATAGTAATTATTATTACTATAAGTGGGAGAGCTAAAGCTAGAGTAGAGAACTCTGACTTCAAATCCTGAGTTCTCTGAACTACTACAAGTCTGTACTTAAATAGTTACAGAACCCAGATACAAATACACTAATTAACATTCTATTGACCATTTTATGTATATGGATTCAATACTTAAATTTTCATTTATAATGTAATCATATTTAAGGAATGATCTTCTGTCACAAAGATGCTTTTATTTAACTGTCTCTTGACCAAACATCCCAGAACATTCTCTGCTTAAGCAGTCCTTTTTTTGGTGCCTACAATTGCATCCTTCCTTAGGGAAACTGAACACCTACCCCATCTGCCACACCCCCATGATTGAATTTCCTTGATTGAATCCTCCCTTGATTAGTGCTTTCCACATACACTGGGATTTCTTCTTTGACATAAGTCTTTGCTCATTTATTTTTTTCTTCTTTGAACTCCTTTATCAAGAAGATTATTTTTGTCTTCCCTGAAACTTCATTAATACAGGATGGTGAAAGATAAGAAGAGAACAGATATCAATGGAGGGAAGTGTCTGAATCCAACCAGGACTTTTCTTTCAATCACTTTCCTTGATCTAGCATGAGGATCACAGCTATTTTTCAGGAAAATTTTTGGAGTAGAATACTATAACTTAGTATTAATCACAAGAGTATTATCCTCTAGCTTAAAGTTACCTACAATGCATAACTATTCATGAACTTTTAAAAATTTCCCTGATATAGTTAGTCTCAAATCAAAGCTTGAATACAATTCATTTCAGAGCAGGACAGCATCTTGCCATTTTAATCATAGCTATATTTTATTGGTTAACTCAATTTATTGTGTTCCTATACATTAAGAGATATATGTATTCCTGAACAAGAGTAATTATCTTGCCTTTCACTCCTAAGTTAGCATATTTTCTTAATACCAAGGAGAGTTGGGATATCCAGCAAGAAGAGAGAAGAATTTAATATAATCCCATTGTAGGAGGAAGGCAGTGGGAAATAGGATAAAAGATGCTGGATATCTCATACTATCTTTTGACTTTCTCTTCTTCCTTTTCTGCCTTTTCATTTCTATACTCTTACTGACCCTTCTCTCAAGCTCTATTTAAGAACATGTCATTTATAGAGGCAGAGGAGAAGGGAGGAGAAAGGAAAAGGGGAATTCTCTGGACTTATTTTTGAACACTTTTTATATAAATTAGCTCAAGTTTTTATACCACACTTAAACTTTCTCCTCCTGAGAAGAGACATTTTTGTTCTCACATGCCATCTTGAAAGTGGAAGATAGAAGAAAAAGTGACTGCTTTTCTCCCATATGGCCAAATCATGGTTATGAAAAGAACTATTGGGTTAGTCCAATAGACCACCTCTAGGGAGCTTCTGGATTACCCTGCTGAGGTCAGAGAACATGGCAGAGGTACTATGTCACCTATACTCTGTGCATTTTAAGTTGAAAGACTATGCATTTGTTTATAATTCCAATCATCTAAATTCACTCACTACTAGAAATTCACCATTACTGACATCATTCAAGACAGCGTAAGATTAATCTGAAATTGACTATTCCTAGTTTTTTTTAATACCTCTGAAATGTCTACTAAATCCAGAATGCAGAGAGGTAAATGAACTGTTTATTGTACTAGACTGAGTACTCATGCTCTGATACTCTGCATGTGTTTTTCTTTTCTCTGAGGCACCTGTGGTTCTGCATGCATTTGCTGCTTCAGGTTGCATCTCCAGTGTGATATCCTACCTGAGGGTGCTAACTAAATGGCACAAGTAAGAACATTCTATTTGTAGGTAATTCTATACACTCTTTTATAAAAGTATAATATTGTGCATTTTCAGTGAGTTCTATTAAAGCTTAAGGTTAAGAAAAGCCAAAGGGAAATCTTTTGGGAGTTTTCAGTCTACTACACACATAGATAGCAGCAGTCCTACTCCCACACTATATGATATAACTCATAAAATCAATTACATGTATTTATTTAAGAGAGACGTCATAAAAAATAGCTTGGAAACAATATAATGCATTATTTTTGTCACAGTTTTGATATGGTATGGTCAAATTATAAGCTCTCCTATGAAATATCAAATGAGGTACCTTGGAAAATATATTGATATTTAGGTCCCAAAACCCAAGTACCTTTGTAATGAGGTATAAAAGGTTAATAGTAGGCACAACAGAATGGTTGCTGGACAAAACTGGCAGCTTATCCACATGTTTACATAAGAAAAGCAATCAATCTTTTACCCTTATTTTTTGTCATCTTCATTTGTCCATATCCCATCACATCAAATTTTCAGGTCTTGATATATTTGATCATACTTCTTGGAAATAAATATCATGATACATCTTTCCAAATCAAAAGATCTTGTTAATGCTGGATATTACATTTAAAATACTTTTTAGTGTCACTGTTTCTTAAATTTACATTATTTATAGGTTATAGGAAATTTATTTAAAATAAGAAAATATCCATAGTTTTAACCATTATAATAATGAGAAAATTCTATAGTCACCATCACCCTAACCATTGCCCAATAAAAAAGACAAAAAGACCATTCATGTTACATAAATTTGAGACCTTTCTTTTTGTTCCACCTTCTGGTAAATATTTTACCTTTATTTGGAAAATACAGGGCTTCTATTCTTTCCATTGTTGGGGATAATTTAAAAGCTTACACAAGTGATAAATGGTTTTTATGCAATCCTCATTATTGTATCTGTTATCTCCTTCAATGGTTCGTAATAATACATAGCTCTTTCCTGGTAATTGATCCCAAATTTCTTTTAAGTCAGCAAAAGTCACTCTCTCAGAGCCTGGGTTTCATTTGTTGTTTGTTTGTTTACAGGAGGAATCACCAAACCTATTCGTGACTGGCTTTTACTGAGCCCCAGGCAAATCCTATCTTTTGATCATTTATTTATGAGTATGATGTTGCTTTACAAGACATAATTGCAGGATGAAATATTTAAACACTCTGTTAGAGCTTCAGTAAAGCAAGGTGTATTTGCATTAAGAAAGAATGGATGCTAGTGAATTCTAATACTTTAATTGATGTGTCAGTTTACAATGATTGTAGGTAAACTCCATTTTTTGTTTTGCACACATACACATATTTTAGTAACAAAGTCAACCAGAAAGGTAATTTATATTAGTTGTTAGTCATTTAAAATATATGGTGAGGATTCTGTTATCATGGCAGGGCGTCATTTTTCTTCTGAGGACTGCTGTCATCCTCAACAAAAAACAAATTGTACCTCTATTTCTAAAGCCTTTTCCCAGTAGTCCTGTTGTCCATTATGCATGCATTGGTATTTCAATACCTGATGCTAACTTGATGGACTCAGCCTCTTGAGGCTTTTGCAACCTGTTTTCTAGCTTCTTCTGTTCTTTCCACTAGTGAGTGAACTTAATATTTACAAGACAGAAATAACATCTGTAAGTTGACCTGCGATTTTGCACTATTTTCAGGTGAGGTAAGTATACCCTGTTGATTACAGGTACTTAGACTTTTAGGTGAGTTTTGCAATAAAATGTTTCAGGTGCACTTTAAAGGTCTTGGCAGACCATGAACCTGAGTTAAATGTCTACATACTTTCACATTTTTTTTTTTTTAACAAAAGGATCTGAAAAGGTAACCTACCTTTATGTGATAGACGTAACCGGGGGTAGGGGGTATCCGCTGCGCGACCTCCTGGCCAAACCTCCAGGAGTAGGTGAGCCCACAGGAGCAAGGTGATGGCGCGTCCGGTGGATGCCATGCTGCGGTCTCAGGGTGCAAGTCCTCTAGAGCCTCACTTTAAGGCGGGTTTGAGTTTTACTTAGGACTCCCCTCCAGGGGCAGCGTGCGAGAGGCTTTGTCAGAAATCGAACGTGTTGTCATCAGACAGCCCAGTTCCAAAGTGCCATTTGTCAAGCTGTATTTGGACACGTAAAACCTTCCTCTCCCCCAGGACAGTCGTTTAAAAGCCTGGAGCAGGAGAGCATTCCGCGGAGGGCGTCTTCAGAGCCATGTCCTGTCTGGAGCTGTCTGCAGTAACTACGCCGCGGACTGAGGGAGAAGCTGTGTTCTTTTCAGTCCCCGGCCAGCGTTTCATTCAGAAAACAAACCCAGCACACGCGCTACCTGCCCCCGCGGAGCTCTGCCCTCCGTCTCCCTGAAGCCTCCCAGGAGTCAGTCTCTTGCACCGACTTGCCAAACAGATAGTTTTAATGCACGTTTCCCCTGGCTAATTAAAAACAAGAAGTGCCATTCCCTCTAGGAGGTGCGGGATCCACCCAGCAGGGATGCCGTCTGTCAGTGCACAGTGTTTACAGGAAAGTTCAGGCAGGGTTGAGCAGCTACTTGCTGTTTCTAGGAAGTATTTCTGGTCCACGTGCCCTGCTCCCATCTCCCTCCCATGTATATCTGGCCCACGTTACTCAGCGTCTGCGGACAAGTCCTCGTTTGGCGGGGCGGGGGCGGGGCGGGGCGGGGGGTGGTGAACGTGGAGTGGGGGTGGGGTGGAGGGAACCATATATAATAGTCTGATTATTTAGGAATATCTGAGGCAATCATATGGCCTCAGGAAGGGTCCTAAGTGTTCAGTCGCAAAGATTAATCCTTGAATAAATACAACTTCATTCTAAAGGAAATCTATTTGTAACCATCCAGTACCTAAATCAATTTATTCACTGTTTCCACAGTCTTTTTTCACGATTAAGTTTTTTTTTTTTTTATTGCTTTCATCTTAGAAATGTTATTTTTTTAACTCTTTTGAGGAAAGTGTTTCAAGAGCCTGGGGAAGGAAAATCATCTGTAATTGTTTCATAGATAGATCAGAATGAAATTATTTGCTCAGGGAAATTCTTCAAATCAAAAAGCTCATTGTTTTCTCTAAAGCAAAACATAAATATTACTTAAATTTAAGAAAAAAAAATTCGAAGTAATGATCTCCTCAGTAAAGTACCTGGTAAAGTTGAGATTGTCTGCCCTTGGAAAGCAGTTATTAGAAAATTTGGGATGGGAACTACCTTAGGATTCAACTGCTGTGCACTTTCACAGTTTATTTTCAAGATACTGTGTTTGTGTAAATAAGCTTAACACAATGGGTCAACTTTACAATCTACTTTCAATCAATCGGAAAAACTAAACCAAACACTCTGGAGTGGTTGGCATGGAAATGAATGGCATTATTTCAAGATACCAATGAACTGGAATAGATATTTGATTTGATAGTTGAGAATTAAATGGTAAACAAATGGAATCAACATTGATAACTTTTCCTTTTTCTGTATTTTAAATGGTAATGAGTAAGGACACATAATTTGAGAATTATGTGCTTAAAATCATGTGATTATAGTAAAAATATAACTCAGRTAAGCTCAATATTTTTCATCGTATGTAAGCAAAAAGTACAATCAGTTATTCTGTACCATTTTTCTAAGCATGATGTGTTCTTATACAAGCAGAACATATTTAGCAAAATGTAAATGTCACTGGATATTATAAATAATTAGATTTCCAAGGTCTACAAAAGATAACAAACTCTAAACATCATTTAACCCTAAAGCAAATGAAGTATTTAGAGACTTTTAACCTGGGGTGGTCTCTGAAGGCGCTTGCTGTTTTAAAAGCCAGACTGACGAGCCACAGACCTAATTGTGATATACTGTATCTTATAAATCCTCCTTTACTTTCTTCCAGAATTGAAGAATAAATAGCAGCTTTTATATGTATTACCTAATGGTAGGATTCTGGGGTAATAAATATGGTACCTATAAGTTTTATTATAAATAATATCCCTATACAACTGAAATTCTACTTAAGATTTCACAATGCCTGTCCTATTCTATTTATGAAATTGAGTCAATATAAGGCATTATAACCATTTCATTAAGACACAAAGTCACATCTTTAAATGCCAATGGGGAAATATCTGCTATAAATGTCAGGTTTGTCTTCAGTTTCRTATATCATCCTTCAGTTTAGGTTAGGGCAATTCTGAAATACATGCCAGGACATTGGATTTCTTTGGGTTCCTCAAAATGTGCTTTTGTTTATTCATCAGTCATCACCATCATTGCATATTCCCCTTAATCTTATCTATGACCTTCTACCTTTCTCTCTATCTCACACAAAACATACAAAAAAAAAAAAAGCCTATTTAAAAACAAAATAATCAAACAAACAAAAAACCCCTGAACATTCAGAACTATCCATAGCCTCAGGTTTCCCCATGTGACTTTAGGACCATCTATTTATAATTACATATAAATCTAGAATATTATAGCAAATCAGGACATCAAAATCACACTACTTGGGAGAGATTTCTAGACACTTTTGGAAAATTGAAAATTTTACACTTTTGAAGATGGAAATTTTTAAGATGACATACTGGGCCATAGCTCAAAGATAGAGCTCTTACCTAAGATATAGGAGGCCTTGAGTTCAATCCTCATCAACCCCTACCCCCACCCAAATAAACACCTGATTTATTCCAGCAGTGGGTAAAGAGTTTCAGTGGACTGAAGATCTTTGTGATTAGCAACAATATCTAGTGATACTGTATTGGGTTTGAGAACAGCCAGGTTGAACAATGTCCAGTGACATGGAAAACTGGTAAGAAAATGTCAGTAATGAAGATATTGCTTGCTAGGTGGGATGCCTCATTCCAAAATATTCCATTGTTGCTTGCCTTATACCATTCTACAAAGAGAAACCTCAATCTGATAGTGAGAAAAAAGGGGGGGCGAGGATTGAGTACTCACCAGGAGTCCCAGGGTCCCCCATAAGGGGTTTTGTCACTGATTCTATAATTTTAATAGAAGAAGGCCAATCATCTTTAGAACAATTCTTCCCAGTAGGTGGTCCCAGACTATCTGTTGTTGAATCATGCTGAATATTTAAAAGAGCAGATTACTATCCTCCACCCCATATTCCTAATTTGCCTGAACTTTTACACATGAAAATATTTTACAGCGGTTCCTTTAGGCCAGTGTTACCCAAATATTAGATATCCATTTGTTACACTCGCCATGGCTATTATAATAGCAAGTACAATTTAAATTTGTATAAAATAAAAACCTTATCTCATAGGCTTGATATGCTCTAATGTTTTTCAAATACATGCAAAAGCAAACAAAATTGTGAACATTTCTCTCTACACCACTTAAAATTTCCTTGCATACCTTGACTGTATTCACCAAAACACTCAAAAATATATATCCCTTCTTTTCTTCCTTCCTGGACATATGGAACACTGTACTTCCCAGTCCCGTGACAGTATTTGAAGCCATTTGGCTAATTCTGCTCTAAGAAAGATGAGCAATGGAAATGTGTATGATAGGTGGACTGAGAGAATGAGATAGGTACTCTAAGAAACCCTCCATTTCTCAAATCCTTTCTGTAGCAAAGGAGGGTAACTTAACATTGTAATGGTGAAGCCAAGAGATTGAAGCATTTTAAATTTGGAAATCACCACAGTGAGGGCAGTTGCCCTGTAAAATTACCCAGACCACCAGTGGATTTCATAGGAGCAGGAAATAAACATGTTATATTAAGTTACCTGGTTTATTAATTGCCACAGCATTGCAAATCCTCCCTAGCTAAATGCACACACTTTGCCTACTTTTGAAATCATGCTCTTGGACAAACACATAGTATTGACAAGTCATGGATACTGTATACTTTTACCTGTCACTATAGCTGACATCAGCAGATGTTACCAATATGGTCATGTAAAAAATGTTTACTTGGTGTTTAAATAAGAGGTTAAGTGATTTCCAGTGTCACTGTTACAATTAAATAGGATTATGCCCTTAGCTTTTCCAATTGAGCATTATACACGAAAATAATGTTATAAACATCATTTATAAGTGAACAGCATGGGACTGTACTTCAAAAGCTTTATGACTGAAACCATTAATAAGCCAAACCATCATAATAACAATGATAATGAACATTTTTAGAACTAAATTTTGTCTATGGTAGCCATGGAATTTCAGTTTCACTAATCCCTCTTCAACTCCTGCTATTCCAGGGATGTCCAGTCTGGAGCATCTCAAGTGTCCCATCAATATGACCTGCTGTTGCAGCTGCTGCCACCATTGTTGCTGTTGAATTTTATAGGCAAAGACTGCTGATTCCTTTACTTGTCATTCATTTTGGATGCCTTATATCACATAATTTGTGTCTATTAACTATAATACCACATTTAAAGAAGGTGAGGACAAATTGATACCTAAATTACCCTTGATTTGTATGCTACTGCAAGTCATCCTAGAGAATGGCATCCCACCAACTAGTACCACCCAGGACCCAATTCTGTCACCCGCATTAAAGAGGTTTGGATCATCCAGATGATTGATTAGTCAATACATTGACTTTGTTTTTACATTTAGACCAGCTACTCTGAGAAGAAAAGAAGAAAAAGGAGAAGGAGGAGGAAGAGGAGGAGGAGGAGGAAGAAGAAGGAAGAGGAAGGGGAGGAGAAACTAAGAGGGAGGGGAGGGGGTGGAAGACTCAAAATGTGAGCAAAAATTTCAAAATCTTTGTTTCTCACTTATACTAGGTTTCTTCTAGGTTCCTGACAACAATAAAGAAAAACAGGAGAAACTTTTGACTCAGGTATGAGATTTAATGGGCTTTAATCAAAGAGAAATGTTTCTCATGCTTTTTTTTTGGTATTAAAATGAAATTATATGGATAGCATTAATTCTGAAATGCATTTAATTTTTAAGGTCTTGAGACATTTTCTTATACTCTTCTTTGTGGGTTATAAAGAATTCCTTAAAAAGCTTTTCAAATTTATATATATATATATATATATATATATAAACAGGAACATTCATAAATTACTATAATTATTGCTTTCTATGTGTGTTGAAATACACACACACACAGACACAGTATATGGGGAATATATGTATATTTGTGA